CATGGAGCATCATTTCATGGATACCCAATCACCATCAATGTATCTTGTGATTTACCCAAACAAGAGATCACTCTTCAGGTTTATACATTATTTTTCTTTTTACAAGACTTCTTGCTACTTAAGGTGGCTCAAAACAGTTTCCAGCACTTAGATTTTGATGGGTCATTGTAACCATTCTGAAATGGTGGCTCTGAACCTAATGAACAGAATTTTTTGCCATAAAGTTGTAAGTTGTGTCTTACCATGCTGATCAAAATTTGCTAATATAAAAAAATTTCCCAGTGCCATTTTTGAATTATAAGCCCCTAGAGCTTTAATTAAGGGTGTTTGTAGCAGGTCATGCTGTTGCTATGGTAACCTATTGTGTCACAAAAATGATAACAACAAGTTCACCAGTGATTGGGCAGTTTTTTGAAATCATGATTATAATGACCCGTCAAAATCTAACTGCTGGAAGCTATTTTGAGCCACCTTAATAGGTAATGACTACGCAACTTAACTAGTTGAAAGACTTGTAATCCTGAAAGCTTAGATGTTGTACTGTTTTGCAGAAAGATAAGCTGTTTGTGGACCGCAGACTTTATACAGTTTTCTACAGAATTATTTTGAGATGATTCATTTTGTGTTCAGTCTGTGCAACTTTTGTTGGGACAAATGAAACCTTGCCTACACATAGCATGTAAATTATAACACATGAAACCTTGCCAACCATAACAGTACCGTTAGTGATTTTACTAGTTGTGCGATGAGCTGGTGGGATTGACCTTAATGGACCTCAGCTGATTGATTGACATTCTAGAAGGAAACAAAATGAGAGAGGAACATTTAAGAAATAGAAAACTTGTACCGTGTTTCTATGTAGTTATTGAAACACGAGTGGAAGTTTGGGAGAACAAGAAATGCTGTGGGAACACAAGCTGTGGGCGAGTGTTTCCACAGCTTTTTCAAGTTCTCCCAAACTTTCACGAGTGTTGTATAACTCGATAGAAACATGGAGAACATATTTTCTATTTCCTTTAGAAAACACCACAATGAAAAAAAGGGAAACAACTTGTTTACTTTGATCACTAAAATGTAAATTCCCTTTGCTTGCGCCATCATTATGCCAACGGCTCATGCTAGTTCTGTGTTTCTATCGAGTTATAGAAACACAATTTTTAACCAATCAGTGCGCATATTTTCTTAGGGCTGTTTTCTAATATTCATTATACCAGCCTACTGTATATACAAACTTAGTTAGCTTGTTTTTGTGTTTCAGCGTCATTCCAATGAAAGTCTGAAGTCTCTTCGTCATAGGATAGCAAACCGACTGAACACCAATCCGGAACAGATCCAGATATCAACTAGTGAAAAACTGGTAGGTATCTAACTGGTCAGACTATAAGTGAAACAGTTAACCTCCAACCTCCACTCCAGGGAAACAGAAATTGTTTGGAGAAATCAGGAGTTCAAGATTTCTTGCATGTACTTCAAATCTCTTATCAATGTCTTTCTGCCTCTATGAACCAGCTGTATGCTTTTGGTGGTGTGTTGTTGATAATTTTTATGTTAATAAATAATTTTGTAGTTGACACAATCATGTAGATTTAGAATCCCAGGTTTAGTGATATTTAGCATCATTAATACAGTACAAGTCTGTAGTTACTTTTAGGTAATAAAATTTTGAGGTCTTCCCACTTCTGACTTCACTTGAACTTTTAGTTTATAGAGGCCCTTTATAATCTGGTTGGAAGTCCTGTAACAGGAGCATTTGTTTCGAAGACCTCTGTATGTCATCTACCTGAACAACTTTTCTAAATTAAGTATCCCCATCTGTATGAATTACATGTATATTTGAATTGCAGCTTTTGCCATGCAAGGATCAGAAGCTTCTCTACCAGTTAGACTTTGAAGATGAGCAACTGCTGTTTGCTAAAGTGTCTGTCTCTGGAGTCACTACTGTGCCTACTAAGGAAGAGGCAGAGGTAGATTTATTGTAAATGACTGGGTGCTTCAAGACTGCAGTTGCTAATATACAAGATGTAGTAAACTTGTTGTACCAGAATTGCTACTAATCTCGCAATCTGAATGGCTAATATGCTGTTGTCGATAAGAGTTCAGACAATGCTGCTCATGTCAATGTATCACACAATGCCTTTTTCAAACCGCAACAGCCAGCCTTTGTCCAACGACCATCTCCCAAAGCCAAAGAATCAGATATGATCTGGTTTGGGAACAGCCCTCTCGAAGTTTTGTGGACTCACTTGGCTGCACCTCGTGAGTCCACAACATTTTGACCACTGTGATGATGCATATCGTTGTCGATAAGAGTACAGACAATGCTAAACCACATTCGATAATTTGTTAATTATACCACAAACAAAGCCCTTGATTTTCACTTTGATGTAAAAATTCTTACAGTTCAGTTTTGTTTAGTCACAGTGCATTCACAAGCAGTATTATACAGTACAACAGTAAATGGTTTATTCTGATGGTGATTTCCGCATAGGTTGCATAAACATTAGTTTCCTACAGCAGTTCCTTTTAGGATTTCCCAGACAATTACATTAGATGAAACGGTGTGCAAAGAAAGTCATGTCTGAACCCAGCTAGTCGATTTTGGAGTCAGGCATGGGGATTCTGTCTTTCACGTGTTCGATGGATGAGCGAAGTCTCTTGGGAGATTTCTGAGGAAAAAAAACTTACAGTCTGAAGTACTGTAAGAGGTGAAATTTTGGTGGTTAAATTGTTAATGATGTTCAGGCTAGGACATCATACTTAGTGGGTTTTCTTTGCATCCAAGTAATTTAAAAATACAAATTGCACAAAAGTGCCTCGCATCCAGGGGATTGTAACAGTTGTTATTCAAATTAGAAAGGTAATCATGAAAAGTGTAATTGCTACTCTGTGATTTTCATAATAATTTGTTTGAATATCTACTCTAGATTATCCAGACTACTTTTAATGTGTGTATCCAAGTTGTGAACTGTTTTTCCTATTTTACAGATTCAAGAGTCCATGAGAATTGATGAGGTATGATGTAATTTGGATATTTCAAACTCACATACTCTAGCAAACACTCGGAAAACAAATTTTCAGGTTAAAATTATGAGAGCTTACTTACCGTCCAGGTGGTTTCTCTCAATTAACAATGTTAAAACATCGTAAATTTGATCATAAAATCATGTATTTTTCAGCTCGTGCCATGTCACATTGCAGCATAACTTGCTATTGATGTACCAACAATATTAATAATTTATTCCAGGCTTTATTTTTGTCTTCTCAAATTCACTAATAATTCATCAAGTTAGAACAAAGAAAATCACAACCGTGAAGGAGGTTTGGATACCCGGTCTTAATTAGCATAGATTTTGACGATTTTACTCCTCTGTTTACTCCTTAGTTTTTGTTTCGATTAAGAAGATATATCAAACACTTGAGACAGTGTTACATCGGCTATCCAAACACCTCGAATGTCATCAGAAATACTCCGCTGCACATTGTATTTTCAACTCTCTTCTCAGTGTTTGGATATCCCGATGAAACACTGTCTGTCGTGTTTGATATATTACTTCTAAACCACGACACCTTGTTGAAATCACTGTGATTCTTTTTCAAATGATCAGCTTAGTTTCTTCATTTGTTACTTTGTAGTCCAGTGCAAGTGGATCAAATCGTCAAACCTATGCCCTGGAACAGGTGAGACAGTATGTGTGTTATTTTTCTTCAAAATGTCACGTTATGGTCATGAATCCAGGCCATGATGTTTTACTCTCACAGTGCCTCATCCTTGTGAACAATTGCCTCCAATGAGCCTCAAAAACAAACCTTGCAGAGAATGTACATGTTAACTTGGTAGTAAAAGTGTCTTGGGGTGGCAGATCCACAAGCAGTACTCCTTGATTCTTCAAGTTAGTTGTAGTGGACTTTGTGCCAGCATTGCCCTTTCAGGGGTGTAGCCAGCTTTTTTTTTCCATTTGAACCCAAATTGTACAGCATAAGTCATATATCAAATTTTGCCAACATCCAAAAAAAACAACAATAACAACAGTCGACTAAATTTTTGTGCACAAAACTTTTTCAAAGTTATTCTTCGTTGATAACCTTTCAGCATTTTTTCATGTATAAGATTGAAAGTCATTATTTTGTTTTTCAATATAAAACGTTTATATAGTGGTGATTCGCTGTTGAATAGTAAGAAAAAGAAAATATGGCCTTTCGGCTACTAAAAAAATTATTTACAGAAATTCTTGTTAAAGGAGCTCAGTCACGGTTTGCGCATATTGAAAAGTTTAGCCTCAATTTTTCAAATTCGTCGTTTGTAATCCGTGTTAATCTTCTCCATCCTTAGCCATCCTTGTTCCTTTATGGTTTATCATTATGTCTTTGGTGTTTTTCTATCTTATTAAACTGTTATTTTCAGGTTTCCTACCATTTAAAGGTAATTTTGTATGTGGCCAAAATAACTCAGAATACCATGACTTAGCTCCTTGAAGCCCGTTCTTAATGGCTTAAAGGCTAGCAACGCCCCTGCCTTGTAGATGTTGGGGTTGGTTAAGGAAGTCAGTTGATTAAATAGGCCCATAGTGATGCAGTTTTAATTCTTTTTTTTTTTTCGTAGGAACGAATGATGCCTGGTGTTATCATGGCAACTGAATGTAAAGCTTTTGACAAGTTGTATCAATTGGCAGAGCTTGAAGAACCTAGGTTGGTGTAATGATGACATTTTTTACTTAGACTTTATTGCAGATGCAATTTGTCGTCATCTAGCTAACTGCGGAGGAAATACCAGAACGTAATGAGCAAGATTAAATAAACTACAATCACAAAGTTTACTTGCAACTTAACAAATATGTGAGGCAGGCTTGCTGAGGCAACATGTGCCAGTATGTGATGTTGATTTAAATCGAGTGCACACTGATTGGTGTTAGGATTGTAGTCACTTTGTTTTTCTCTAATGCTGCTGTCAGTGATAGAAGGTACTGCCCTTGAGTTCAATTAAATTTTCAAATTGTCTCAAACTCGCTTTTGCGTGTAGAACAACAACAACAACAGCAACTGACAAGAGTCATAATTGTACATTACAGTAATACCAGCAGATTCTTGTCTTGGAATGTCCTGGTAACGTCCAGGGAGAATAGTTCATTTCTAAGAAACCTAAACCGTGTATTACACTGTGGTGAAACACAACGGGCATTTGAGAACACGAGGGAAATGTAGAAAACACAAGCCACAGGCGAGTGTTTTCTACATTTCTCAAGTGTTCTCAAATGTTCGGAGTGGTTTATCATAATGCAATACACGGCTTAGGCTTCTTCATTTGCTTTATAATATAGATTTTACATGCGCAAAACAATAAAACACGCTTTTTCTATGTTGATACTCTGATAAAACATGGGTTTTTGACCAATCAGAGCGTGCGCAGGGTCCTATCTATATTATAATGTGTGATATGACAGGCATCAGGGGATGTTACAATTGTCGATATATACTGGTTTAAGGTAGTTACTTGAATGAGCCTAGGAATACTAACGTTGAAGTATTGTAAAAAAAAAAAGTAGAGAACTTTTTTACACATATTGTAGACGTTTTATTCAAGCATAGTGGAGCCCCGTTAATACATTCACCAATGGTCCATGAAAATTTGGCCATATTAACGAGGTGATCGTACTAACGGGGTGGGTTAAAATTTAATGACTGGTCTAAATTGGGAAAATCTCTTCAAGGGGAATGATATTTTTCTCACCCTGCTAATGGTCAGTTACATGAAGAGAAAGTCCCGAAAGTTAATGTATAGAGACTTCTGTTCAGAAATAGTTAGGCATTTGTCAGATAGGGGTTTGTTAAGAAACAATATTTAGTATGTACGTGTACATCTTTTCCAAGAAGGGCTTTGTGAATTCATTCTCTGGAGATGCCAGTATTGCATTGTTGTTGAAGGGTTGTGACGTTTATTTGAGGGTGATGCTTTAATCTAGGGCGGCACTTATTGAAGTTAATATGTTGGCTTGTCAAGCTGAATTAGCTGGTTCATTCACAAAGAAAGCTGTTCTTTAACTGTACTGATCTTTACAGTGGTCATGTATTAATGTGTTTCAGGTTCTAAGTAGTAAGTTGATGCCAACACATCACAGAGATGGAGGAGCCAATGCTAGGATGTTTAAGGAGAACTTTTTAGCGAGTGGAGGACTAAGGTATTCATTCTTCCGTGAACTACTTGGGTGTTATCAAAAGGTGGTTGTAAAAGTGTGGAGGCAACGTGGCCGAGTGGTTTAGGGCGCTGGATTTGAAATCTGGAGCTCCCTGGTTCAAATCCTCCACCCTAGCGCTCTCTGGATTTGTTCTCGGTAGCCCCGAGTTCAACTCCTCGACCGCGTTGTGTAAATAGCCAACTGGTTAGCCTCCCACCTGTTGGGATTCTTAATAGTTTATGTTTTATTTGAAATATTTGTTTATTTGGTTACCTTGTCCCCAATTAGCACGACAATGCTAAATACATTTGACACTGAGATAAAGTTATTTATTATTAATTTTATTTTATTATTAGCATGATAGATAACTTGCATCCGTTTTGTTCAGCCATATAAAACAGTGATGCTTTTTTTCTTGTCAACAGTGTTGTAGTGAATATCCTTCAAAAAGACATGTTTCCTCAGGATGTAGACACTGAGATTCGCAGAGGCTGCTATGCAATTTGCTTACAACTAGCAAGGTTTGTATTCTTTTGGAGCCATGAACTCACTCTGTCATGTATGTTGTGGTGTAAATTTTGTTTAAAATTTTTCAAAGCTGTTTTAACACCAATTCTAGTGTCAATTGACCATAGCATGGATATTTACATTGTAAACCATGGCTGCATGTCTCGGCAACCTATTAGCTGGAGTATGTTTTTCGTCGTCGCAGAGCGCACACACCCATGATCCATGCCGCTAGCCATGTTGACCATAAAAAAAAGAGTTGCATGGTTTTCTATTTCTATGCATGCATGTGGTTATGTTCCTGTAGTTATGGTGCTCTGCTTGAAGGCCATTCAGGCTGCCGGAGCTCTGCTATGAAACCTTGCGAGATGATTAATGCTAGCGATATTTGAATAGTTTCGAAGAATCATTATTAATCTTTTGGCATTGCAGTGCTTTTCTATTTTCACGTAATTTATGTTTTCTCCATTCTTTACTTCCATGTATATGCAGACAATAGATTTGTGCTCAGTATATTCATTAGTTCTAAGAAGTGTTCTGTTCTCCTTCGGTTTCAAGGTTCTTGTTGTGTGGACAATCCTCAGAAAATTCCTTTACAGCCCCACCTTCGCCACCACACAGAGAACATGCTACTATTGCAGCATCACCGGTTGCCATGGCAACAGGTACCATGGAAACCGACTTAAACGACTCCCTTAACAACTCGGCAATTGAGGCGAAGAGAGCACGCTCTAGCAGTATGATTGACGATGTACATCCTTCTGTAAGGGTTGCTATTGAGGTAAATGATTTAGCTACATGTAGGAAGGTTTAATTAACAAGCCTTCATTTCAATTCTCATTTTGGACTTTTTGTTATTCTGCCCTGGTCAAAGGCTGGATAACGCCATATCCATTAGATAAATCGCTATCTAGTGGATGGCATAGTTTGATTTTGACACTTATCTGCTGGAAAGCGATTTATTGTTAGTAGTGCTGTTCAGTAGACTTGTTTTATATCTTGATTCATGGTTGTGAAAGTACATAATTTAAAATATCAAAATTGGATGGGCTGTGCAAAAGTAATGAGAATGAAATTAATTGATTACGTCGGTCCTCTTTTCTGCGGTATGGTAGAATTACATGTAGTTTGTCTTAGTTGAAAACACGACCCCACTTGTAAGCAAGCCTTCATTTTTACCCACATCGTGCAAATGAAGGATGTTGTTGTTGTTGTTGTTGTTGTTTCAATTGGTTTGTTCCAATGGAACTTTTTGGGCATGCCCAGTAGAACGTCCAATGGGTGTGTGAATGAGGACAAGGAAACTTCTGTCTTGTAGGGTAGCAGAATTTTAACTAACCTTATTTGCGTCTTCAGACAATGGGCCGAGATGACTTTGCAGAGACTATTGCTTGTTTTATGCGTGTAGCCTGGGCGGCAGCTGCTGGAAGAATCAACCTGGCTGGAGGCAGACAGAGACTGTCTAGTCAAAGCTCCGATGATGAAGGAAGCAGTCATGGGGGAGCAGGGAGTGACACAGAGTCTGTTAAGTCCTTTAGATCGAGTGTCTCCAGTGGCAACCCCTCTGAAGTTACTAACAAGGTATGGAAATAGATAACTGTTGTTCGCAGTGGCGGATCGAGACCTTGAGCTAAGGAGGGGGGGGGGGGGGGGGG